CCTGAGAGTCCAGCACTGCAGTCACTGACCCCCGGAAAGCCTCTCTGTCCATGCAACTAAGTCTGGCAGGGGTGGTGGTGCGTGCCTGGAATCGCGACAGCGGGTGGCTGAGGCAGGAGGATTGCTTCAGCCCGGGAGTTTGAGACCCATCTGGGCAACATAGGGAGACCCCAGCCCTACACACACATAAATGCACACAACAACAACAGATTAGCTGGGTGTGGTGGCATGGACCTGTAATCCAGCTACTGGGGAGGCTGAGGTGGGAAAGTGGCTGGAGCCCAGAAAGCTGAGGCTGCAGTGAGCTGTGATTGCATCATTGCACTCCAGCCTGGGACAGAGCAAGACCCTGCCTCAGAAACAAACACACAAAACAGGATCAGATAAATAAGTCTGTGTATGTAACACCTTTCACTGGGGTTCTGGCAGCCTCTGCACCACTGCCAACATGTCACAGCGCTTCTCCCACGGACATTGAGACCTACCTACTCTTGTTAGCAGATATGTATGTATAGATGTTATTTATTTATTTATTTTTTTGAGACAGAGTTTTGCTCCTGTTGCCCAGGCTGGAGGGCAACGGGGTGATCTCAGCTCACCACAACCTCACCTACCAGGTTCAAGCAATTCTCCTGGCTCGGCTTCCCAAGTAGCTGGGATTACAGGCATGCACAACCATGCCCAGTTATTTTTGTATTTTTAGTAGAGACAGACGGCATTTCTCCATGTTGGTCAGGCTGGTCTTGATCTCAGGTGATCCATCCACCTCACCCTCTCAAAGAGCAGAGATCACAGGTGTGAGCTACCACTCCCAGCCATATAGACGTTATTTTACAGACTGGCTACATATTTATTTGTCCCAGAATGATGGGCATTTCGTTTCCCATTTTTTTGCCCTGTATCTCAGATATTGCTACAAATAAAATCAAATCTGGCTGGGTGTGGTGGCTCATACCTGTAATCCCAGCACTTTGTAAGGCGGAGGCAAAAGGATCACTTAAGACCAGGAGTTCCAGACCAGCCCAGGCAACACAGGGAAACACTGTCTCTACAGAACAGAAAAGTTAGCCAGGTGTGGGGGTACCCACCTGCGGTCCCAGCGTGGGAGGATAGCTTGACCTTGGGAGGTGAGATCGCCTTAACCATGATTGCACCACTACACTCCAGCTTGGGCAACAGAGCTACACCCTGTCTCTTGAAAAAATAGTAATAAAAGATAAACAACAATAAAACAACCAAGTCTTTTGGTTATAAGTTACAGGAACCGACTCCAGCAAGCCTAAGCATAACAGGGACGTAAAGCCCCTGGAACCAGCTGCAGGGCAGGCGGTGCGTGGGTGCTGGGCCAGCCGGCACTACTGGGGCTCCTGCGCCAGCTGCCCAGTTGCTGCCCACTGCACTGTGGCACTGGGGCTTTCGCCCTGTGATGTGCGGCCAGAAGGCAGGCAGGCTCCCTTCTCTTTGCCTCCGCAGTACCCTCAGTCCCTCTGGCTGACTAGCCCTGGGGGTTTTAGTAGGGTGGGGTCCTCGAAGTGGGGCTGTCAGAAGGTGCAGATTTTACTCACGTGCAATGTACCCATGTGCCTGTGAGTGTGGGAGCTGCCGCAGACCCCCGGCCCTCCGCTCTGCCTGCAGAAGCAAGCCTGTGGCTCCCCATTCTCTCTGCACCCTTCTGAGCGCTTCTCTGAGACTCTTCCTTCCCCTGCCCCTTTCTTCTCTTTTCTTTCTCTGAATGGCATACAGCCTCTACCTGTCCCTTGTCCCCATCTCTGGGTGAATTGAGTGACACCACCCCTCAGGCTCTGGGCTCTTGTCTTACCATGGACACTGGGAGGTGGGCACTGTGGTGAAGTAGTGACTGGACCAGCTCTGGATTTAGGCTTGGCCTCGGTCTCCCCATGTGTAAGATGGGGGTGATGGCAGGGGGTGAGGGCATTGAGGCTCTTGGGCCTGGAGCTGTCCTCATGGGGGCTGCTGGGAGGTTTGGCTGGGCCTCTGTGTAGGATCCAGCCCTACAGGGTTCTGAGTCCCTCCTGGCTGGTGCGGAGACAAGAAATTATGTAAATAAAAGGCACAAGACACAGAGATCGAGAAAAGAGAGTTTGGGCCCAGGGATCCACTGCTACCCAAATCACGGAGACCAGCAGTGGCCCCCAAATGCCAGGACGCTCTTACTTAATAATTGAGTTGCAAATCTGGGGGCAGGGAAGGTAGGGCGTAGGTAGGGCTTGGCCTTGGTGGCCTGTTAATAGAGCAGGGTAAAATAGGGCGTGACATACAGGTGGGGGCTCAGGAATTTTTGGCACCCGAAGTGAGGTAAGGAGCATAATACATCAGCACATTTTCCATACGTATCAAGAAAGAACAAAAACATTAGGATTTATATTACTATTACTGATTATCTTTTCTAAGAAAAAAGGAGCCAGGTGCAGAAGCAGAACATGAGAGTGGACCTGGAACATGACCGCTGAAGCCCAGCGTCACACAGAGACAGTTAAGCCCCAGAGGTTTGTGGGTTTGCTGACAGCCGTCAGGCCTACCACAAGAGCGTGGAGAAGCGGAGTTTTTTCCTAACTTCCCCAGGAAGGAGACGTCTCGGCCATCTTGGGCGTCTCCTCCCCTACCTGGCTAAACAGCGGGGCTTTCCCAGCGCTGGCGCTGCCGCACAGCCGAGGCGCCCTCCAGCAGCCCTTATGCGGGCGTGACAGGGGGCTTAGAGCAGTTTGCCTTAGGGTCATTCATTCACAATGTCACCCCAGGTTCACAGTTCGGACCTGAGAGGCATTAGAAAAGGAATTAAGATCACCTGTGAATAACTAACATCACATATTAATAATAACGACTACAATTATAAAAGTTACTTTCTTCATTATTGATACAGAAATAGTCTGAGTCTTTTTGCTCCTGCCTCAGTGCTTATGGGGTCGTTTCCCTACACCTCTGTACCCTGCTGGGCCTCCCTTCCTGAAGCCACGTGGCCCAGGGGTATGCAGGCTGTGAGGGGCAGTGGGTTAGGGTCGGGGACAGTGCCCAGGATCCTGCATGGAGTTCCTCCCGCCTGGGTCCTGCATTCACGTGCAGCTGGCCTGATCTTTTAGCTAACTGGAATGAACTCACCAGGTTATCTGTTTGACATTCCAGGGAGGCTTGGGGAAAGGTTTATGGAGTAGAGGGAGCCGCCCTGACCAGCCTCCTCGGCCTGGGTGTGTCCATTTGTTGGGACTACAGAGCCAGCCACCCAGCCTTCCTGGCTCAGCCGCGGGGCAAGTCTTCTCAGCTCTGTTGGGCTGTTCTGCTCGTGGCTGTCTCATGGCAGGGAGGAGTGGACAAAGCTTGGTGAAGTTCAGCTGGGGCAGCCAAGATTCAGGTAGGCAGGAGACAGCCTTTTCTCCTGGAGCCCTCAGGCCACTGCTGCCTGCCTTCGGCTGCCCCTTCCTTCCGAGGCTGGCTTCTGGGCGGGGAGGCCAGAGGAGTGGATGCTTAGGGGTCAGTTTGAGGGGAGCTGGGCACTGGGATACCCCCTGGCATGGGGTACCCGCTATGGGGGCCCTGGAACTTCTTGGGCTCACTTTGGGCACCTCATTTTCTCTTAGAGGAGGCAGTTGGACCCTTGAGCAGGGCGGGAACCTGGCCAGGGTCCCATGGAGACTTTGGGCAGCTTTAGCTGGGAAGGTGGGCCTGCCAGGGTGGGGGCCAAGTGCCCTGTGAGCCTTGGTGGGGCCTCCCAGCCTGTGAGCTTCCCTCTGCAGCCAGAGGGGCTGGGGGCGGGGGCTCCCATTGTCCAGATGCTGTTCTCCGAGGAATTTTCACGGATGCGCCTCAAAATGAGCGAGGCAGGCCTTCCGTCAGAAGCACAGCCGCTGTGCTCAGGCTTTCTCTTTTGTAGGACACGGGCATCAGAACATCTTTTCTTCCTTTAAAAAAAAAAATTAAGGCCGGGCGCGGTGGCTCAAGCCTGTAATCCCAGCACTTTCGGAGGCCGAGGTGGGTGGATCACGAGATCAGATCGAGACGATCCTGGTCAACATGGTGAAACCCCGTCTCTACTAAAAATACAAAAATCAGCTGGGCATGGTGGCACGTGCCTGTAATCCCAGCTACTCAGGAGGCTGAGGCAGGAGAATTGCCTGAACCCAGGAGGCGGAGGGTGCGGTGAGCCGAGATCGTGCCATTGCACTCCAGCCTGGGTAACAAGAACTCATCTCAAAAAAAAAAAAAATTAAAAAAAAATTTTTTTCTCTTACATTATTATTTTTGTTTTTAAATTTTATTTATTTTTTCTATTACATTATTTTAATTATTTTTTAATAATATAAATTGAGATGTCTTGCTGTGTTGCCCAGGCTGGTCTTGAACTCCTGGGCTTAGGCGACAGTGCTGGGATTACAGGTATGAGCCACCGTGCCCGGCCCATCTTTTTTTCTATAAAATGCTGGCGACTGTAGGTGACGTCTGTTAAATCTTTTTTTTTTTTTGAGATGGAGTTTTCGCTCTTGTTACCCAGGCTGGAGTGCAATGGCGCGATCTCGGCTCACCGCAACCTCCGCCTCCTGGGTTCAGGTAATTCTCCTGCCTCAGCCTCCTGAGTAGCTGGGATTACAGGCACGCGGCACCATGCCCAGCTAATTTTTAGTATTTTTAGTAGAGACGGGGTTTCACCACGTTGACCAGGATGGTCTCGATCTCTTGACCTTGTGATCCACCTGCCTCGGCCTCCCAAAGTGCTGGGATTACAGGCTTGAGCCACCGCGCCCGGCTAAATCCTTTTTTTTTTTTTTGAGACAGGATCTTGCTCTGTTTCCCAGGCTGGAGTGCAGTGGTATGATCTCAGCTCACTGTAGCCTCTACCTCCCAGATTCAAGGGATCCTCCTACCTGAGCCTCCCCATGAGCTGGGACCACAGGCACGCACCACCATATCCAGCTAATTTTTAAATTATTTTGTAGAGACAGGGTCTTACTCTGTTGCCCAACCTAGTCTTCCACTCCTGGGTTCCAGCGATCTTACTACCTTGACCTCCCAAAGTAGTGGCCTGAGCCACTGTTCCCTGACTGTTAAATCTTCTTAATCTTTCCTTCCTATGGCTGGAGAGAGATGGGGGGCCGGGCAAGGGCAGCCTCCTTTGCTCTTGGCTTGTGATCTCTTTGGGTTGGGGTGGGGATGAGTAGCTATTGCCCAGGTGGGTTCTTGGCAAGTCCAGAGATGCCAATGACAGAGAGGTGAGGATCTCACTTTGCCAGCCCTGTTGGGAAGAGGGTGTGAGCTGTGGGTGGCTGGCAGGGAGGGATGGCTCCATGCCAGATGTGGTCTGCCTCCAGTCCTTATGGATGGGAGCTGGCAGGATGCCTGCAGGACTGGCTCTCCAGCCTCTCTGGTACCCATGCTGTGTCTCTAGAGGGCAAGGGGAGGACCTGGGAGCCTGGGCAGGGTGTCTGGCCAGTGTGTATGTGCCCTGGCCTCTGCAGTCTACAGATCTGCCCAGGATTGGGAGCAGGTTGCTCGGAGGGAGAGTCACTGCTTGGAAAAGTGCTTTACCTGGCAGACAGCAAGCCAGGCTGTGGCTACTGGCCTTATTGGCCATGCCCTTAGGAAGCCTCTGAAGCCAGGCTTGCGGAGGGGGGACTATATCTAGAGTGGGCTAAACCTGTAAAGTGGGGCTCCCAGATAAATTGGGGGCCCTTGAGCGGGAAGGACCTGACTGGCTTAATCTGACCTGGCCCAGGACAGTTCCCTTCCTGAAAGAAGGGGGCAGTCTCTGAAACCCCTGGCTGCAGGTCCAGCCATGGAGTTGGGTCAGTGTGTGAATGGTAATGAGGCCTGGCTGGGTGGAGAACGGGACTCCTGGCAGGCATCCTGCAGAAGACGGAGCACTTTCTGAGGTGTGGCCCATGGCCAGCCCGGCAACCACACTCGGTGTATTGGGCAGGACTAGGGCCATAGCGGATGCACAGGCAGGGTCGTGTCCCAGCCAAAGCTGCCTGCATGCCTGTCCCCATAGGCATAAGCCAGGCACCCGGTGGGGGCTTTTATTGCAGCCCAGGACGGCTGAGGCATTGCAGGACCCCAGCAAGGAAGAGGTCTAGACGCTGGGCGGTGAGAGGCTGGGGTGTTGGTCAGGACAGGCTGAGGCCTGGGAGGCAGGGCCTGCACTTGAAGGCAGTAGCCTGCAGGACCGTCATGGTTGTCCCAGGAGACTCACCCTGCCCAGCCTGAGGGCAGTGTCTGGCCCTGGAGGAGCAGCCTAGCAGTGACTGCCTCGCTGGGATGGGCAGCCCTTTCTGGAAAGGGTGGGTGGGAGGAGCCCTCTGGGTGTGGGGCAGGATGGGGCAGAGCAGCTCCTGGTATCCCCAGGATTGTTGCCCTGCAGTGCTCTCTGCGGACAGAGGGTGGGCCTCACACAGGGCAGTGCCTGAGACGGCCGGAAGCCTGGTCTCACCTGAGGCCCAGGACAGGTGCTCCCCTGGGGCCGCTCTGCCCCGAGCCGGCCTTGATAATGTGCTTCCTTGTTCCCCACTTCCCAGGTGTGCAGCTGCCGGAAGGGGAGGTGCTCGTGAAGACGCTGTCGGCTGGCCGCCTGTGCCCTTGGTGCCCTGGCTGCCTAGAGAGCCTCAGCCCTGGGCCCTGGGGCCAGGACTCCAGGACTCTGACCACCTGCCCTCCCGCAGCCTCTGTGGCTGCACCTCCTCATTAGCACTGATGCTAGCACTGATGCACTGATCTCAAACACAGGGGACCCAGCCGGGAGGCGTTGCAGGGCTGGGCCATGGCTGCTCCCAGGCCCTATCCAGGCTCCTGAGCCTAGAAGGTGAAAAGAGGGCTCTCAGGGACTCTCAGGGGCTCGCTGCTGATTGGCCCTGCCCTCCCTTCCCCCTCAGCAAGGTGCCAGGAAGCTGGAACTTTGTTATCTGGGTAATTAGCTTCAGACCCTGGACTGAGGCCGGCCAGGTCTCAGGGCTGCTTCCCACAGGCTGTGCACCCTGACCCCTGGAGGGAGGCGAGGTGCTGCCAGTCGACAGCTGGAGACTGGCCTGGGGATCAGGTTCGGGGTGCCCTCCTACGCTGCCCTCCCTGCCCCGGCTCACCCCCCAGGGCCGCCTGGGCCTGGTAATCGCGTGGGGCCTCCTGACCCAGCCAAGAGCACGGAGCTTTGGGAAGGGGATGCCCCCAAGGGTGTCAGTCCAGTCAGCTGCCCCACCCCTCAGGCCCAGCCTGGCCCCCAAGCTCCCCACTCTGGTGCCCCAAGCAGCCCCGTGGGCAATCAGCCCCCGCCATGGCCGAGCACCTGGAGCTGCTGGCAGAGATGCCCATGGTGGGCAGGATGAGCACGCAGGAGCGGCTGAAGCACGCCCAGAAGCGCCGTGCCCAGCAGGTGAAGATGTGGGCCCAGGCTGAGAAGGAGGCCCAGGGCAAGAAGGGCCCTGGGGAGCGCCCCCGGAAGGAGGCAGCTGGCCGAGGGCCCCGGAAGCAGGTCCTCTTTCCCCCCAGTGTTGTCTTTCTGGAGGCTGCTGCCCGAAATGACCTAGAGGAAGGTGAGTGTGGTTGCGCTACAGGGCAGCTCCCCGAGGGCAGCCTGCTCCCTGTCCACCGGGTGCCATCTCATGCCGAGGCTGGGGGCTGTGCCCATCCACAGCTCCTGGGCTCCAGCCCCCAGATCTTGCCTGGTCTCTTCAGGCTCTGTGGCCCAGGGTCCCTCTGTCAGGCAAGCAGTGGGCAGCCCTGAAGGCAGCCCGTGCTGGGACAGCTGTCCTTTAGGTGGGGGCTGCATGCAGAGGGGGTCCTGCTGTGAGCTGAGCCAAGGCCATGGGGTGACCCAGCAGAAGCACCCAGCGTGGGGTCCAGCAGGAGCAGGGGTGGCCAGTAGTCATTACTGCCTCTCGCGAGGCTGCTGAGATGATCAGGAGAGCCCTGGTCTCCACCTCTGTAAAGTAGGGTGGTACCCCCCGCCTCTGGGTTAGAGAGCCAGGCCCTGGGTAGGCACAGAGCCCATGCTGGTGGGCTCCCTCTCAGCGCCTGCCCCGGGCTCTGCTTTTGACTCTGTCCTCACCTGTGTCCCATGCTTCTCGCAGCCCCAGCTGTGTGGGTTCCACTTCTGGTGCTTGGGGTCTGGGAGCAAGAGGCACTGTGGTGGCCCTTGAGATGCCTTCCTGCCTCCTTCCAGGGCAGAGGGTGAGGAGTAGCTGGCAGCTCCTGGCCTGCATCTTCCTATGTGGACAGGAGCCCTTCCGGGAGGCAGAGGGAAGAGGCAGAGGGTGCCGTGGTGCCACTGGGAGCTGTGGGAAGGCGTGGAGCCGTCCTACAGCACCCCAGGCACCGTCAGGGAGGACACTAGTGACCTGAGCGAGAGCCTGGGCCTGAGCTGGGATCTCGGAAGGGGAGGGGAGCAAGGGCAGGCATGTGCTCTGGTGGTGGGGAGCCTCCGGTCAGGTCCTGGAGGATTGGGGGACATGGTGAACACAAGGCTGGGCTGGTTGTTGGGGAAATGCCGAGGGAGCTACCGATTCCTGTGAATGATGCCTCCCCAGCCCAAGGCACTGCCTGGCTGTGGCAGCCTCGGGGCAGGGAGCTCTTCTCAGGTGGAAGGGAGTGTGGGATTGTTGGAGGCCTCCTCTCACACTGGAGGAGGGCCTGTTCTGGGGGTTGGGAGGCTGGAGCACGTCCACAAAAGGCCTGCAGGTGGTTGGAGGCAGGGGGCTTCTGGGAGTGCCGCTGGCCTGGGGCAGACAGATGCCTGGTGCTCCTGCTTGCCCCTCCTGGGATCTAGTGTGCCTCCTGCCGTGGGCACCACTGTCTTCCTTGTCCTTTCCCAAGTCCTGGCTGAAGCACAGTTGACTACGGTACTCTAGGCCCAGGCCTGAGCAGGGACAGGACCCCCTGTCCTCACCTCGCCACCATTTTGCAGTCCGCCAGTTCCTTGGGAGCGGGGTCAGTCCTGACCTGGCCAACGAGGACGGCCTGACGGCCCTGCACCAGGTCAGCCTGCACTGGGGGTGGGTGGGGCAGGGGGGGCCCCCACACTCTGGCCGCTCACGCTGCATGGTTTGCAGTGCTGCATCGATGACTCCCGGGAGATGGTGCAGCAGCTCCTGGAGTCAGGGGCCAGCGTCAATGCCTGCGACAGCGAGTGCTGGACGCCTCTGCATGCTGCGGCCACCTGTGGCCACCTGCACCTGGTGGAGCTACTCATCTCCAGGTAGGGCCGGCTGGGCGCCTGTGGCAGGGAGGGGCTTCCTCTCAGATGGCAGCTCGGGGGCTCCTCTTGGGCAGTATTCCTGGCTCTCGGCCTCCTGTGTTCCCGCCTTCACGTTTGCTGACCCTGCCTGTGTCCTGCATGGAGAGCAAGGCCTGGGGCCCCAGGGAAATGAGCATGTGCCCAGGGCAGCGTTGCCCACCCAGCATGCGTCGTCCTGCAGAGAGGGCAGGCCTTGGGCCCCCACAGGGTGTGCAGAGAAATGCTTTGGTCAATGAGGAGGACTGAACTGGTAAGGAGGGAAAGGGAGTGAAGAAGCCAGGTGGCTTGTGAGGAGAGGGTACATGGGCACAGCTAGGGCCTTTACCTTTAACACAGAAGGAGGCAGAGCAGTGGGGTGGTGGCCTCACCCAGGGTCCACAAGCCTCCTTGCTTCCTTCCCCTTCACTCCAGGTTTCTGTGGTGGGAGAGAGGTCAGGGGCTGCCCCTGTGGGGCAGGCGGGGATGTAGGGTGTGCAGAGACAGGCCTGTTCCTCCACTGCACATGGGCACGCTGTCCGTGTCCTGAGCACCCGTTGCCACCCTCCTTCCCTAGGTCATGTTTCCTGCAGCTCTGTAGCCCTCTCAGTGTGGCTGCCTGGTCCTGTGCCCCCACCACTCTGTGCTCCCTAGGGTCCCTGCTCCCCCAACAGGCAGGCACATAGTGCCCGTTTGGGCACTGCTGTCCCTGGAGGCCTGATGGGTACGGACTGCAGGAGGCCTGTCTAGGACTGAGGGGCAGCCGATGGGCTCCAAGGGCACCTCTCCCAGCAGCAGGTGGACCCGGTACCTCCTCCACAGCTACCCCGTGCCTCCTGAGGGGTTCCAGTGAAGAGCCCGGCGTGTGGGGAAGGCCCGGTGCCCAGCACCCCGTGCATCTTCCTTGCAGTGGTGCCGATCTCCTGGCAGTCAACACCGATGGGAACATGCCTTACGACCTGTGTGACGACGAGCAGACGCTGGACTGCCTGGAGACCGCCATGGCCGACCGCGGTAGGTGCGGCGCTGTGGCTGTGGGAGGGCTCCCGGGCGCGCTCGCTCTGAGCCTGCCGCCTCGCAGGCATCACCCAGGACAGCATCGAGGCCGCCCGCGCCGTGCCGGAACTACGCATGCTGGACGACATCCGGAGCCGGCTGCAGGCCGGGGCAGACCTCCATGCCCCCCTGGACCACGGGGCCACACTGGTGAGGGCTGGGGGGTGACGGGCGCGGGGGCCGGGGGCCTTGCTGCTTGGAGTGGGGGCGTGGGCTGAATTCAGGCCGGGCGCTCGCCTGCAGCTGCACATCGCAGCAGCCAACGGGTTCAGCGAGGCGGCTGCCCTGCTGCTGGAGCACCGAGCCAGCCTGAGCGCTAAGGACCAAGACGGCTGGGAGCCGCTGCACGCCGCGGCCTACTGGGGCCAGGTGAGTGCAGGCGGGAGCAGGTGGGAAGGGGCTTCCCGGAAGCACAGCCTTCTCCAGCTCCCGCCGGCCGCCCACAGGTGCCCCTGGTGGAGCTGCTCGTGGCGCACGGGGCCGACCTGAACGCGAAGTCCCTGATGGACGAGACACCCCTTGGTGAGCTTTTGGGGCCCTTCTCCACCCGGGGGAGAGGACAGGCGGGGAGAGCGCCCTGACGCCTGCGCCCACTTCTCAGATGTGTGCGGGGACGAGGAGGTGCGGGCCAAGCTGCTGGAGTTGAAGCACAAGCATGACGCCCTCCTGCGCGCCCAGGGCCGCCAGCGCCCCTTGCTGCGCCGCCGCACCTCCAGCGCAGGCAGCCGCGGGTGAGCCGCCCCCAGCAGGCCCCGCCCCAGGCCTGTCCTCGAAGACGTCAGCCCCCCCTGGTGGCGTGCCAGCCGAACTAGGGGCAGAGTCCAAGGGGGCAGAGTCCAAGGGGGCAGGCAGGGTTCTCCCGGCGCTCTCCCTCCCCTCACCCTCCTCCTCCCTTCTCCCCAGGAAGGTGGTGAGGCGGGTGAGCCTGACCCAGCGAACCGACCTGTACCGCAAGCAGCATGCCCAGGAGGCCATCGTGTGGCAACAGCCGCCACCCACCAGCCCGGAGCCGCCCGAAGACAACGATGATGGCCAGACTGACGCCGAGCTCGGGCCGCCGCCCCCAGAGGTGAGCGCCCGTCCCTGCTCTGCCCAGCGCAGCGATGGGCCTGGCTCTGCCCTGGGTCTCTCTTGGCTTGTGCGCGGGCCTCCTGCCTGTTAGGAATGGTGCCCTGCAGAGGCTAGCTGCTGCTCCACCTCTCCTCTGACCCTCCATGACCACACAGCCTGAACCCAAGGCCGGGGAAGGGGGAGGAGCCCCTGGTGGCCTCTGGGACCTTCACTGCCCCTGCCCGCAGGATGACAGCCCCGAAGTGGCTAGGCCGCACAATGGCCGAGTAGGGGGCTCCCCAGCCCGGCATCTGTACTCCAAGCGACTGGACCGGATCGTCTCTTACCAGCTGAGCCCCCCAGACAGCACCACCCCCCACACCCTGGTCCACAACAAGGCCCACCACACCCTGGCTGACCTGAAGCGCCAGCGAGCTGCCGCCAAGCTGCAACGAACCCCGCCTGAGGGGCCCGAGGGCCCCGGGGCCACTGAGCCTGGCCTGCCTGGTGACACGGAGACCCCCCAGCCTGACTGTGGCTTCAGGGCCGGCGGGGACCCACCCCTGCTCAAGCTCACGGCTCCGGCGGTGGAGGTGCCTGTGGAGAGGAGACCATGCTGCCTGCTCATGTGAGGCGGTTGCTCAGCGTGCAGGGGCCCCGTCCCAGGCACAGCCCGAGGCTGCTCCCCACGGTGCGTGGCCCGGTGCTGCAGGAGGGCAGGACACTGGCCCCTCTCAGGGCAGAAGACATGCCTGGGGGACATCTGGTTGCAAAGACTATTTTTATCCTGCGACTTTGATAAAGGGCTGTTTGCCACGGAGCCTTGTTGTGTGTGTCAGCTGGGCCACGGTCCCACGGTGGGGAGTGGGTTGTGCTGTTTGGCTGGGGTGCCATCCGTGCTGTGAGCACAAGGCCTGTAGGTCCATGCTGGGACATGTGGCAGCCCCAACTGTGTGGGAGTGAGGCCCACGGCTACCGGGCCAGAAGCCCGGACCTCACCCACTCCCTCCCGTGCTCAGCCTCTTGGAGTCTCCTCCGTAACCCTTTGCTTTCCTGAGAGGAGCAAGGTGCTTTGCAGGAGCCTCCATGGTGGCCAGGGCTGAGGGTGTCTGTGCAGAAGGGGGCGGAGGGTCGCGGTCCCAGGGACCATGGCCCGGAAAGGGAGGTGGTGTTTTCCACAAGATTCTTGTCAGAGCCAGAGGGGCAGAACAAGCACGAGGCTGTGTCAGAGGCTCCCTGGGGGGGTGGGGGGGAGGTTGTGGGTCCCCAGTTCCTGGCATACAGCCCTGATCCTGGGGCCTGGCTGCCAGCTTCCGCCTGGGCTTGCATAGGGGACATGCAGTTGGCCACTCTGGCTCTGAGCTGGCTGGCACAACGTGTCAGGGGTGAGGGGGGCCCTTAGGGGCCTCAAGCAGGAGGGCTGAGGGCACCACCAGCTAGTCTGTTGGTGGGTGGCTTTGCATGGCACCAGTGCTGGGTGGCGTGGGTTTGACCTGTTCTCCCTCCTGGCTCAGCACGGGCCCGAGCACCCAGTGTCCTTCCTGGAGCATCTCTGCTTGGAAGGGCGTCCCCACAGGGCTGCTGGTTAAATTTAGTGTGGGGGGTGGGGCAGCTGTCCAAGGTCCACCTGCCACCAGGGCTGCCACTTGGGCTCTACTGCCAGGGGGCGGGCAGGGGCTGGCTCTTCCTGGGGCCAGGCCCATATTAACCTGTGCTCCAGCCTGGGGGCCAGAGGTCCAGGCCTGCACCGGGGAGGCCGTTGTGGCAGCGGAGCAGAGAAGTGCAAGGTGAGAGGCCTGGGGGCTGGCTGTCCAGGGTTCCTTATGGCTTTTCTCCCAGCCAGCAGGATCAGAGGAGCCAAGGCCCGCCTTGGGCCTGACCGGCTGCCCACAGCCCTGCTCAGAGGGCCTACCCCTTGACCCTCGTGGTTCAGGTTTCACGGTGGGCCACTGGGGTGGGCCAGCATTGAGCGTGGCCTTTCAGCTCTGTAGGCCTGTGGAGGTGGGGCTCTGGCGGCCTATCACAGCTTGCTTCCTACTCTCTCCTCCAATTGGGAACAAGAGGGACGGAGAACTCAGGTCACCTCTAGCCTGGGGTGTGTCCCAAGGGCAACCCTAGGCTGGTGCCTGGCAAAAGGGCATGACAGCAGCCACGGTGTGAGGTGTCACAGGGCCCAGGGCTAGACTGCCTGGCTCCAGCCCCTCACAGTGCTCATCAGGGACTAAGGTCCAGATACAGCTCTTGCTGCCCCTGGGCCATGGCTACCAGCCCTGCAGGGGCCACATGGAACCCAGAGCCCGAACACCCCTCCCCTCCCCCCAGCACCCCTTGGATTCCCGAGGTCTGGCTCAGTTACTAGGAGACAGGTCTGCAGGCCGAAGCAGATTCGGGTGCCACGAGGGCTTGGCCTCAGCCGAGTCCTGCTAGGGTAAATCCCAGCAGCCCAGGTTCCAGTCTTGCCTTGGGGGTCCCTCCTTTCCAGCTCTGCCAGCCCCTTAGGGCTGCCAGGCACCCACTTCACCCCCCGAGCAACCCAGGCACTCTGCCTTCTCCCCTCCCCCCATGCCTCGTCCCTCAGAGCTGTCCGGACTGACGTCTGTACCTACCCCCCATGTGGATCTCCTGCTCTCCCTCTGTGGGGACACTGAGCAGGCACTGGGCCTCGCCCCAAGCCCCGCCTGCCGCCTCACCCACTGCCTCTGCCTCCCTGGGGCAGAGCTGTGCCCAGACGGGTGGGGCGGGGCCCAACGGTCCCCAGCTCCTTCAGCCCTTCCTGTCCCTACCAGTGGGGCCAGCTGCGGTGAAGAGGGTGCCCTCTTGTCCAGAGTCCCCCTGCTACGGCTGCCCCTCCCAGCCCTGGCCTGCTGAGCCAGACCCAGGTGTCCCCATTCCCACTTCTGGTCCTGCCACCGCCTGAGCTGCCTTCCCTCCTGGTCTGGGTAGAGTCATGGCCTCAAGCACAGTTGACCAGAGCCAGGTGGCAGGGAATGGGCTTCGGGAGAAGGTGCTGACGCTGAACAGCATGAACCCGAGAGTGCGGAAGGTGGAGTATGCAGTGCGTGGCCCCATAGTGCAGCGAGCCTTGGAGCTGGAGCAGGAACTGCGCCAGGTACGGCCCAGGCCCCCTTGCTGCCCTCCAGGTCACACTGGTGGCGGGTTGGCCCAGCCCCACTGACACATGGGACCAGGGCTGAGGGGTTAGGAAGGCACAGCCTCCCTGCCTGCTCCCGTCCCCTCTCCTCCCAGGGTGTGAAGAAGCCTTTCACCGAGGTCATCCGTGCCAACATCGGAGATGCACAGGCTATGGGGCAGAGGCCCATCACCTTCCTGCGCCAGGTGAGGCTCCTGCATTGCCCGACACCACCCTCCGCCCCGCCTGCCTATGCACCCCTGCCTCAGCACCCTGTCTTCCCAGGTCCTGGCCCTCTGTGTCAACCCTGATCTTCTGAACAGCCCCAACTTCCCTGATGATGCCAAGAGAAGAGCGGAGCGCATCCTGCAGGCATGCGGGGGCCACAGCCTGGGTGAGAGCCAGGGCCAGAGGAAGCAGAGGGCAGATGTGCCCACTGGAGGAGGGAAGTCCCTTGGGAGGGCTGAGGAGAACTCTTTTTTATGAGGAAGAGGAGTCTCACTCTGTCCCTAGGCTGCAGTGCAGTGGTGCGATCTCAGCTCACTGCAACCTCCAAATCCCTGGTTCAAGCGATTCTCCTGCCTCAGCCTCCTGAGTAGCTGGAGTTGCAGGCACGCCCCACCACACCCAGCTAGTTTTTGTATTTTTAGTAGAGATGGGGTTTCGCCATGTTGGCCAGGATGGTCTTGATCTCCTGACCTCGTGGTCTGCCCGCCTCGGCCTTCCAAAATGTTGGGATGACAGGCATGAGCCACCGTGCCTGGCCTGGCTGCAGAGAACCTCACCTGTGCCTCCCATCCTGCTCCGCCCCTGGGTTCAGGGGCCTACAGCATCAGCTCTGGCATCCAGCTGATCCGGGAGGACGTGGCGCAGTACATTGAGAGGCGAGACGGAGGCATCCCTGCTGATCCCAACAACGTCTTCCTGTCCACAGGGGCCAGCGACGCCATCGTGGTAGGCCGGACCTGGGCAGAAAGACATGCCTGACACTACAGACGGGGCACCAGGGTGAGGGATGGGTGCAGCCCTAGGCCCCGCCAACCTGCTTTCCTCTCCTTCCCCTCCTCCCTGCAGACGGTCCTGAAGCTGCTGGTGGCTGGTGAGGGCCACACGCGCACGGGCGTGCTCATCCCCATCCCGCAGTACCCGCTCTACTCGGCCACGCTGGCAGAGCTGGGCGCGGTGCAGGTGGATTACTACCTGGAGGAGGAGCGCGCCTGGGCGCTGGACGTGGCCGAGCTTCACCGCGCCCTGTGCCAGGCGCGTGACCACTGCCGCCCTCGTGCGCTCTGTGTCATCAACCCCGGCAACCCCACCGGTGCGTTCTCCGCCTCACCCCACCCCGCCGTGCTCCTCCCGCACCTGCACCCGCGCAGGCCCCTGGCTGCCCACTGGAGGGCAGTTCCCTCCCCGGGCTCACCCAGCCCCGCTGCATCCCCCGCACCCCAGGGCAGGTGCAGACCCGTGAGTGCATCGAGGCCGTGATCCGCTTCGCCTTCCAAGAGCGGCTCTTTCTGCTGGCTGACGAGGTGCGCGCCACGGGGGGTGGGAAGCAGGGCAGCAGCTGGCCCCCGTGACGTCTCCCGCCCTTCCAGGTGTACCAGGACAACGTGTACGCGGCGGGCTCACAGTTCCACTCTTTCAAGAAGGTGCTCATGGAGATGGGGCCACCCTATGCCATGCAGCAGGAGCTCGCCTCCTTCCACTCCACCTCCAAGGGCTACATGGGCGAGTGCGTGCAGGCGAGGCGGGTGGGGGCTCCCGTGGCACGGCTTGGACCCACCTCATGCGCTAGGCCACCCCTCCCCACCAAGCCTGGACATGCCCCTTGCCTGGCAGGTGTGGGTTCCGCGGCGGCTACGTGGAGGTGGTGAACATGGACCCTGCGGTGCAGCAGCAGATGCTTAAGCTGATGAGCGTGCGGCTGTGCCCGCCGGTGCCAGGCCAGGCCCTGCTGGACCTGGTGGTCAGCCCACCCGCGCCCACTGACCCCTCCTTCATGCAGTTCCAGGCTGTGAGTTGCAGGTGCTAGGGGGCCCAGGTGACCTAATGGGGGTGGGCTGCCGGGCCGGGGATGCCAAGTGCCCTGCCCTGATGGGCCCTCCCTTGGCGGCCACAGGAGAGGCAGGCAGTGCTGGCAGAGCTGGCGGCCAAGGCCAGGCTCACCGAGCAGGTCTTCAGTGAGGCTCCAGGCATCAGCTGCAACCCAGTGCAGGGCGCCATGTACTCCTTCCCTCGGGTGCAGCTCCCCCCGAGGGCGGTGCAGCGTGCTCAGGTCAGGCGGGGGCAGAGCCTTCGGGGTGGGCGGCGGTGGCTGGGTGTCCCTCCCTGACAGCTGCCTGTCCCCAGGAGCTGGGCCTGGCCCCTGACATGTTCTTCTGCCTGTGCCTTCTGGAGGAGACCGGCATCTGTGTGGTGCCTGGGAGCGGCTTTGGGCAGCGGGAAGGCACCTACCACTTCCGGTGAGCCCTGGCCCTCACTGCCCGTCCCACCATCCCAGCCCTTCGCTCATTGTCCACTCCTTTCAGGATGACCATTCTGCCCCCCTTGGAGAAGCTGCGGCTGCTGCTGGAGAAGCTGACCAGGTTCCATGCCAAGTTCACCCTCGAGTACTCCTGAGCACCCCAGCTGGGGCCAGGCTGGGCCGCCCTGTGTGCGCTCAGGGCCCTGGGGGCCTTTGGAGCCCACTGCACTTGCTCCTGCTGCCTGCAGGGGCTGGGCCCCTGCCTCTCTGCAGGTCCCTAATAAAGCTGTGTATTAGTCTGACTCCAGGGAGGCAGCATTGGCAGCTCGTGGTCCTCTTCTTGCAGGCCTGGGTCCCTGAGCTGGCACGAGTGGTGTCTTCGGACAAGGGGCCTTCCACCGCTATCACCCACCTGTTCCTACTAAACTACTGCTGTGGGCTGGGTCTTCCCCGCTGCCTCTGGTTGTGGGGCAGAGCCTGTCACGATCACACAGAAATGGGCTGAGAGTCCGGAGTGTGAGAAAAGCCAGGCCCTGCACGCCTTTGTGGAAGCCCCCAGAGCTACTGGGGTGGGGACAGGGCCCACCCGAGGAAACACAGCCTTTCCTGAGGAAAGCGCAGAGAGCTGTCTCCTTCCTGGCTCCCTTTCCCCTGCAGTCCTGTCTTCCCTGGGGCACAGGGAAATGCTGAACTAGCATGGCGCTGGCTGGATGGGGTGACTGACAGCTCAGGGAAGAAGTCTTGGTTCTCTTACCTGAGGCAGCAGAGGTGGTGCCACTGACTGGGGGCCAGAGAGACCACCCTTGGTATCATTGTGTGGTGTGAGGCATGGCTGGGTGGAGTAGGAGGCAGAGGGAGAGGACACTGCCAGGGTAGGGGCTGGGGCTGGAGGAGGCAGGGGCAGGGCCGGGCGGCGGTGGGGAGTGCTGTGTCCTGGCCTGGGGAGCATGGCCGAACACCTACCATGTGCAGACGCTGCGGGGGAGGTCACTCACCCTGCACTGACGGTCTTTTGAGGTAAGTATGATAGTCCCCATTTGATAGATGAGAACACCTGGGCCCTATGAATCTGCTGAGCTGTTAAGAAACCCCCTCAGAGGCCGCAGCAGCTGGAAAAGTGCATTGGGTTCAGTGCCCTCACGTCACCCAAGGACGGGGCTGGCTTTAGAGACTCACAGACTTGAAGATAGGACTGGCCAAGGGCCATTGTTGTTCATTCTGGAGATGGTTTTTACCACAGGCCACACTTCACAGCCTCATGTGGGCCTTGGGAGCCCCAGAGGGCACAGCTCTGGGCAGGGAACAGGCAGGTGGGCCCCTCCCTCTGCAGGGCGGGCTCGTGTCAGGCAGGGCGCTCCTAGTCCTGTTATCAGACACTGAAGGGCGACACGGGCAGTGGCTGGCCGTGTCCTGGGCTGACCTTTCACGCTGCCCTCCTGCCTTCCATGCCTCTGTGACCGCCTTAGAGAGGGGCTGAAGCCACAGACACAGCAAGGTGGGGGTCTGGTTTCAGAAGTAACGAGTGGAAGCCGGTGGAACCCTTAAGCGGACGCCTTCGTGCGGGCGGCTGGAAAAGGGAGGCTGGGCCCTGCAGCAGCCAGACTCCAGGTCAGACACCAGGAAGGACGCACGCCTGGCGCGGATCCGAGCTTCCCGGGAGGGATTAGGGCCGGCCGCGGTGCAGGCCGCTTCTTACTCGCGAGGCCGGCCCAGCTCTGCAGCTTCCCTCTCTGGGCCTCTCACTCGCGCAGCACCTCGGTGGGGGCGCGCACGTGGCGGGGCGGCCGCGGGCCCGAACCCGGACTGGCCACCGGGGGCGCCCGCGAGCCGACGCTCTGGCCCGCCCGACCTTCCGGCCCAGCTGGTGGCCGCCGGACTCCGGCGACGCCGAGTCCGCGCACCGTGTGACCCGTACTCCGCTTTGCGGCTCCAAGGGGCCGAGAAGCTGCTGAGAGTCCTGCCCGGCCGGCGGTGCGCGGCGCGGGCAGAGGGCCATGGGGGGCAGCGTCCCCGCCCCGTTTACCTGCAGCCGCGCAGAGCATGCCGGGAGCCCCGGGAGGCAGGGGCCCCGCCCCCTTCACCGGAGACCGCGCAGAGCATGCCGGGAGGCAGGGGCCCCGCCCCCTTCACCGGAGGCCGCGCAGAGCATGCTGGGAGCCCCGGGAGGCAGGGGCCCCGCCCCCTTCACCGGAGGCCGCGCAGAGCATGCCGGGAGCCGCCGGCTGCCAGTGTCCGGGCCGCTCGTCCCCGTTTGGTTCCGGGTTCGGTTCCGGGGTGTGGATACTCCCGAGGCGTGAGAGCACGTGTCCAGACCCCAGCCTGCCCGTCCGACGCTGACTCCGCCCGGTCCCAGAACCAAAGCCATGCCGGGGCGTAGCCCCTGACCCCACGCGGAGGGGACCTCGCCTTGCGGGACCCCACCTGGAACTCGACCTCCCGGCCTCGCCGCCGGCCCGAGCCGCCATGCGCGGGAAGCTGCTGCCGCTGGCCGGCCTCTACTTGGTGCAGGGCCTGCCCTACGGGCTCCAGTCCGGCCTCCTGCCCCTGCTGCTGCGCGCCCGCGGCTTCTCTCTGACGCGCGTGGGGCTGGCCAAGGCCCTGTACGCTCCGTGGCTGCTCAAGCTGGCGTGGGCCCCGCTGGTGGACGCGCGGGGCTCGGCGAGGGCCTGGCTGACGCGCAGCACGGCGGGCCTGGGGCTGGTGTGCGGGCTGCTGGCCGGGCTGCCCCCGCCCGGAGCCGGCCGGGCCGGGCTGCCCGCCGCCGTGGCGGGGCTGCTGCTGCTGCTGCACCTGGGAGCCGCCGTGCAGGACGTGGCCCTGGACGCGCTGGCCGTGCAGCTGCTTGAGCCGGCGGAGCTGGGGCCGGGCAGCACCGTGCAGGTGGTCGCGTACAAGCTGGGCGCCGCGCTGGCCGGGGGAGCGCTGCTGGCGCTCCTGCCCACCCTGTCGTGGACGCGGCTCTTCCTGCTCCTGGCTGCCGCCTACTGGGTGGCCGCGGCCCTGGCCTGGGCTGCACCGGCCCTGCGGCGGCTCCCACGGCCGCCCCCCTCGGAGCGGCGTCCCCACACGGTGCGCCTTCTGCGGGACGTGCTGGCCGTGCCGGGGACCGTGTGGACTGCAGGCTTCGTGCTCACCTACAAGCTGGGTGAGTGAGGCCTCGAGCCGGGTAACAGCGGAGGCGTGTCCCCGGGGGCTTGCAACCCACTGCAGGGCCACCCTCTTTCTGGGGTATGACCTGTTCGACCTGGCCCTGACATGGGGGCTCTACAGCTGGGCCTTGCGTCGTGTCCTCCCCCAGCTCTGGCCACAGCCCTGAGGGCTCTCTGGGGCTGCTCCACTTCTCCAGCACCTGCAGCTCAGGAACACTGAGGGCAGGGCAGGCCCGAGGCCCTAGTGGGGAGGAGAGGTAGCTATGGGACCCCCCCCCCTTCACGGCCCACCTCCCTGCCCCAGGCGAGCAGGGTGCCAGCAGCCTGTTTCCGCTTCTCCTGTTGGACCGCGGCGTTTCTGCCCCCGAGCTGGGACTGTGGAATGGTGTGGGTGCCATGGTGTGCTCCATCGCTGGCTCCTCCCTGGGTGGGACATTGCTGGCCAAGCACTGGTGAGCCCTCCCCAGTGTGCCCCACCCACCTACTTGTATCCAATCTGCTCGGATCCCCTAAAGTACCCAATTTCCTCACCCCCACCCTAGGGAGCTGCTGCCTCTGTTGAAGTCGGTGTTGCGGCTCCGCCTCGGAGGTTTGGCCTGCCAGACTGCCTTGCTCTTCCACCTGGATGCCCTGGGTGCCAGCTTGGGTCCTGGCACAATCTTGAGAGGTGAGTGGCTGGTCTTGGGGAGGGAGGAAGAGAGGGGCCAGGAGCCTGGGGCACTGCTGACCTCTGCTCTTCCAGGGGCAGCCTTGCTGAGCCTATGTCTGCAGCACTTCTTGGGAGGCCTGGTCACCACAGCCACCTTCACTGGGATGATGCGCTGCAGCCAGCTGGCCCCCAGGGCCCTGCAGGTGAGCACAGGCAGCAGGGACACAGGGACTGCAACTGGCGGGTGTGTGAGCCTGACTCTGACCTCCACACCCTCAGGCCACACATTACAGCCTGCTGGCCACTCTGGAGCTGCTGGGGAAGCTGCTGCTGGGTGCTCTGGCTGGAGCCCTGGCCGATGGGCTAGGGCCACATCCCTGCTTCATCCTCCTGCTCATCCTCTCTGCCCTGCCCCTTGTGTATCTGGGTCTAGCACCCAGCACCTTGCTCTGAGCTGGGCGGCTGGACAGCTCAATAAAGCCACGTGCTTGTGAACCAGATGTGTCTCTGCCTGGAATATGTAACGTGCGTGTCCCCAGGCTGTGGGGGCTGCCTCATCAGGACAGGAGGGCCCGTAAGACAACGTAAGCAGCTGGGTGTGGTGGCTTGTGCCTGTAATCCCAGCTGCTTTCGAGGCTGAGGTAGGAGAACTGCTTGAACCAACACCTTGGAGGCCAAGGCTGCAGTGAGCCGAGATCACACCACTGCACTCAGCCTGGGCGACAGAGCAAGACTCCATCAAAAGAAAAAGGTAAGCACTTTTAATTCTGCTTGTTGAGCCTCCTCGTCCCACACCCTGTGGCAGGTTTTGCCCAGGGCTTGTCATCGTCCTTGCCGATGACAATCCCAGCTCTGCCCCACATGCTCCACACGGTGCAGTCAGCGGCCCACCTGCAGCAGCTCTTCCGTGGCCAGGCGCACCAGGGCGTGGAAGCTCAGGTGCAGGTATTTTCTCCAGAAGCGGCGGTCCTGCCCGAACACCTGGGCCGGGTAGCAGGGACTTCCTGCGGTGGAGCCGAGACACAGTCATGAGGATCGTCCTGGCCCTGGCCGTGGCCCCCGCCCCTGGCCTGTTATCAGGTAGAGCCCCCAAGCCCTCACCGATGCCGTGGAAGATGCGGGCCACAGCCCTGCCCGAGAACTTCTCCTCTGGCCTCAGGGATAGGAGCTGGCGGATGTCACGGCGGACCTGGTCCTCCCAATCCTGGAGCTGTGCGTGGACAGGCAACTCGGGCTTCCTCTGAGCTCCTGTGGCACCGTGTCCACACAGCAAGCCCACGTGGCCCAGGGAACTTGCAGCTCTGGTTTGTCTGCACGTCCCTGCCTGGCCTCACGGCACTCACCCTGGCCTGCCCTGGCTCGGGACCGTGTGTGTCCCCCACGCCCCCGGGACCCTGTGCTTCCTCTTCCACTTCCTCAAAGTAGCGGCTGAGCAACTCCTTGAGCCTGGTGCTGCGCTCCTCATCCGGCTGCTCCAGGCAGGGCCCACAGCTGGGGAAGGCTACGCTGTGGAGGAGAGCCTGTTACAACGGGCCATGGCAGGAGTGGATGGTCCCAGGCCCTGCCCACCTCCTCCCAACCTGCGAAAGGCCTGGAAGGTTCTGTGCAGACGGGCCAAGGCCTGGTGCTCCCGGGCCTGTACACGGCCATACAGGAAGTCACAGATCTGGTCCTTCTCCTCCGCGGTCAGGTCACCTGGGCTGCGAAGGTGGAAGGCCAGCTCCCTGAACTCCACACGCACCCCTGTGCTCTGCCACATACCTGCCGGAAAGCATGTCAGAGGCAGGCAGGCAGCACCTGGGGCGGGGTGGGGAGGGGTGGGGAGCGCTGTACCTGTCTGGGGCTCATGGTCCCACTGCAGCTGGCAGAGAGCCCGCCGCACACAGGCCAGCTCCCAGCCCATGGAGTCCACCAGCTCGACCATGTCAAACTCCACCGAGCTGCTGCCTTGCCCTGGGTCCTCAGGCAGCCGCTGGGCCAAGCACACAGCCAAAGGGGGACACCTGTGCCGAAGACAAAGGAACATGTGGCCAGCAGCCCTGACTCCAACCTCACCCCTGCTCAAGGCAGGGCGTCTCACCTGTGGGCCAGGGCCTGGAGCTGGGCAGGGCCGCCAGAGCAGTGCAGATGGCAATGGCTATAGGTGGTCGCCAGCAGCTCCAGCCAGTGCTGTGGGTGCAACTCCAGGTAGCACAGCAAAGTCTCGATGGCTGGGGGCAGAGCAGGGCTCAGGGGGCGCAGGGCCAGCCCATCCACACCCCCGTGGTTTACCCTGGGTTCCTCACCCTCCTCTGGCATGTCCAGGGCCTGCACAGTCGGCTGCACTGGGAGTGCCCGTTCGTGGCCCACACAGGACCTTCTCGGTCCTGGGGCCGCTTGGCGGCCACCAAGCTGCTCCACCTCCTGAGCGGGGGACCCAGCCACAGGCGTCTCCCCACCCCCAGCCCCCTCCTGCTCTGGGGGCAGCCTGGCGCAGGTGCAGGGTGGGAATATGCGCTGCACCAGCCTCTTCACAGCCCAGAAGTCGGTGCCGGCAGCGTGCACGTGTCTGCGCAGCTCTCGTAGGTCTTCACCCTGGAGCGCAACAGTCACGAGGGTGGGACAGAGCGCCGGGGGCCTGAACGCTGGAAGGTGGGGCAGAGCGCTAGGGGGCCTGAACACTGCCGGTTGCGGGGATGCCCACCTGCGGCTGCAGGAAGAGGTGGCAGTGGGCAGGCTGCCCGTCACGCCCGGCCCGTCCCACAGCCTGCACGTAGCTCTCAAAGCTTGGGGGCAGCCCCAGATGCAACACAGCCCGCACGTCCGGCCGGTCCAGCCCCATCCCGAAGGCCACTGTGGCCACCACCACGCGCAGCTGGCCCTGCATGAAGGCCCTTTGTACTCGCTGCCGCTCCCGGCTGCACATGCCTGCGTGGTAGGCCTCGGCCATGGTTTTGGGGGCACCACCTTTAAGGAACACAAGCAGATATAGTCAGTGGGATGGGGCATATGTGCTCAAGGTGGGTCCATGGGGGCACCAGTCCTGTCCATGCCTCACCTTTAGGCCCTGGGCCCTGGGCCGGATGCAGGCAGGTTCGGAGAAGTGCAGCAACCCGCTCTGTGTCCTCCCGACGGTTGCAATAAATGATGATGGAATCCAGGTTTCGAAAGCGTCCGCCTTGCAGCAATGTCAACAGAGCCTGACAAGAAGTAGTCAGAGTGGGCACTCAGAAGTGAGAAGTGGTCAGCACGGGTACAGGAGTCGGGGAGTGATCAGTGTGCGTAGTTGGAAGCTGGGGCCCTGTGGGGTCCCCAAAGCACGCACACCCACCTGGTCTGTGTCCCTGTCCATGGACACGGAAAGGTGCAGGTTAGCGGGAACTGGGGCTGGCCCACGGAGGCCAGGCTCTTCGGCCACAGCCAGGTGCTGGGCCACGTCACGGGCTGTGCGGCGTGTGGCTGTGGCTGTGAGGCCTAGGAAGCAATGCACGCCCATGCGCTCCCGAAGCACCTGTACCAGAGGCCATGGTGGTGTGAGGCCGCCCAGCCTACCTGGTCCTAGCCGCCCACCCCACTTCACACACAGCTCACCTTACAGACACGCAGGTAGCAGGGCCGGAAGTTGTGGGACCACTGGGAGAGGCAGTGGACTTCATCGATGCAGGCAAAAGCCACTGGAGGCAGCTGCGTGGCTGGAGGAAGACCCCCGGCTCCCACCAGCGCCTCGGGGGTCAGCAGCAGCACGTGTACCTGGCCTGCCTGAACCTGAAAGCAGCAGGATCAGCGGCACAGCCCAGGTGCCCGCCCGCTGCCTCCCTCACCCCTAGGCCCATGAGGCCCCCACCTTCTTTAGGACAGACTCCCGTTGCTTCCTGGTCATGCCTGAGTGGATGCAGGCTGCCTTGAGACAGGAGGGCAGGCCAGACACCTGCAGATCCAGGAGCAAAGGCCATCAGAGGCCAGCCCGGTCCTCGCCCTTCCCCAAGTCATCCCAGAGATTCTAACCCAACAGCTGCTGCTACCTCCATCCTAAGCCCTCTGGAGAGAGGAGAACCAACCCCCGGGTCCTAGGGACAAGGGTTCAGAGCCACCTGTGGGCCCTGGCCCAAGGGATGGCTCCCTTCCCAGCACAGCTCCCGTGGGGGTGGCCGTGGTGCTGGTGGAGCTGGGCTGCCTCAACCTGCTGCCAGGACTGGGACTGCAGCCACAGACTCCTTGAAGCTCCCGGGGGAGGGAGTGGTTTGGAGACAAGCAGCAGTTGCCTTTGGGAGTCACAAGTGCTTGTCCTCAGCTGTGTATGTGTGCCCAAGACCCTGTGTGCACACCTGGTCGTCCATGAGTGACAGCAGGGGAGAGACGACCAGTGTGAGGCAGGGGCTGCGCCGGGCGTAGAGCAGCGCCGGGAGCTGGTAGCACAGGGACTTGCCGGCACCCGTGGACAGCACCAGCAGCGTGGAGATGCCTAGGTGGGGCAGGAGTTAGTGGCAAGGCTCTGCAGCCTGGCCTCAGCCCGGCCTCAGCCCTGGCAGCTGTGCGTACCAGAGAGGATCCGCATGACTGCACGCTCCTGCCCGGGGCGGAAGGCTCGGTGCCCCAGCTGCTCCAGGGCATGGAACACCTCAGCTGGCGTCTCTGCAGACACAGCTATTGATTAGCAAGATGGAATTGCCTCAAGCCCTTGGTAAAGGCTCTGGGCCAGAAGCCGACTGCTCACCTGCCACCTGCCCTGAGGGCTCTGGGGAGTAGAGTGGCGGCACGGCGGGGGCCAGGCCAGGCACCTCGGGCTCAGGCACCTCCAGTGGCTCAGGCACCTCAGGCTCAGGCACCTCGGGCTCAGGCACCAGTGGCCCAGGCCCAGCGGGGTCTGCGTCTTCCTCACTTGCTGGGGTCAGGCAGGAGAGAGTGGAGTCTGAGCTCCAGTCTGGGCTAAGACAATACTGGCAAGACAACCACTGGCCACAACCTTCCCTTCCCCCAAAGGAGGCTGGCAGCAGTGCCCTTCCTCTGGCCTACTTCTTCCAAAGCAGAAGGGGCTGACAGCCAACCTCATCCCCGCCACCCTCCTTCAGGGGAGCCAGGGTAGGGCCTGGACCAGGGGTACCTGGAAGGGCCTTCTGTTTGGGACGGAAGTGTCCCCCAAAAGAGCACCTTGCTCTCTCCAGTGTTGTCTGGACCGACCCCCGCCCAGGGCAGACATCTCACCTGGCTGGAGACACTGGGGTGCCCTGTGATCAAACTGCCCATTCAGGAAACAAGACTCCTTGACTGTGACTGTGCCATCACCACTGCCAGAACACTCCCCTTTCTTTTGCCACTTCTGCTTCCATGCCTGGGGGGGCCCACATAGGAGTGTCACTGGATGGGAGATGCCGGGGTTGAGAGAAGGGAAGGGAGCACCTGTCCCAGCCTGTCGCTGTCTCACCTGCTTGCGGAGGAGCCTGCCACGGAGTGCCCGGCCCCGCACGTAGCGTTTCTGCTTCATGTTGAGCCGTACGTAATTGCCCCTGTCATGGCCAGCAAGCCTGGGGAAAATGTGCAAGGGGGCTATGCCCTCAGCCTTCTCTGCCCTGGCTTGACTGGAGGGGCTGAGTCTGTGGTACCTGGGGGTCGACCGGCTGCTGCAGGGCTGAGGGGGCTGTGCCTGGACAGGTTCCCCTGGAGAGTCTTCCTCAAGTGCTATAGCCTCAGCCGCCTCCAACGGAGGTCCAGCCTGGCTGCTTGGCTGCTGGACCTGTGTGGGGCTCCCCCAGGGCACCTCATTCCGTCTCCGCTTCTCACCTCGACTGCTGCTGGGCTGGGGGCTCCCTGCACCGATGCTGAGTTCTTGGAGGGCTGAAGCCTCTGGGCCCTGGGAGCGAGCACCAGGACCAAGGATAGCGGACTCACCCGCGGTCAGAAGTTGTGATTCCTCTGAGCCTAGGCCAGGCCTGCAGGGTTTGGGGGCCCCCAAAAAGTCTGGGACCCCACTGTGACAGCGCTGCAACCAGCCAGGATCTAGAGAGCCCAGCCGCAGGCTCAGGGAGGCCCAAAGGTGCTGGAGCCGCCCTGGCCTTGGCCAGGGCCCGGAAGACTGTGAAGACACATCACTGACTTTTTCTGCAAAGGTGGGAACAGGTCCTGTACCTGGGAGCTTTGGGGTGGGTGTCTTGGATGAGGATCTTCCTGGAGGCCAAGGTCTGTGGCCCAGGGCTGGGCCGGCCTGGAAGGGGAGGAACAGAATGGCAGCAGGAACTCAGGCCCCTAGGCTGCTGTAGACTCCGAAACCTGAGCCCGCACCTTCAATCGTAGGGCAGGCTAAGAAGCACTGGGCTAGACTAGAAAGGGAGTCAAGAGCGGAGATCCCCAGAAGCTCCCTCCCAGGAGAGTGATGCCCTGGTTGGCTTCGGAGCCTGTGCCTGTCTGTGTGGAAAGAGTGACAGAAAGGATATGGGTAGCCCTGCCACCCTGGGTCTAGCATAGACGCACTGCCTGCCCATCCGTCACCTGCAAGGTGCCTTTCAGATTGGCCTTGAGTCGCTGCCCATAGTCCCGGAACGAGCCCTGGCAGCTCCGCCCCGGGGTAGGTTGTGGACTCTGGGTCGCAGCCCGATTCAGGTGGGGCCCCCAGCAGTGTGGCTCTGACGCCTGCAGGAGACAGTAGGAGCACAAGCCGGAGACAGGCTGGTGTGCGCGCAGAGGCGCTCCCAGCCGCGCCTCCCACACCTGGAGCGAGGTCCGGACTTTCCCCACTTTGCCCAGTCCTCCTCCCAAGTTCTGTGCCCCACGGAGGGCTGGTCACGACTCCGTGGCTTCCGCCACTCCGCCAAACGGGAAAGTGGGAGGAGGTTGGGGTGGCGGGGCCTGGGTACCTCCTCGGCCGCCGCGGGGAGCGACTCCGGGCTGCGGGGCCCGCCGCCGCCACCGGACTGACGCACCGTCCGCTTCAGACTCCGGTATTCCCGGTAGAGCGCTGCGTGGGCGGGCGGGAGGCGGGGTCAGGGTGGGGGCTGGGCCCCCGCCGACCCGGCGCCGCCCCGCCCCGCCGACCCGCGCGCGCTCACCGCGGGTCTCCTCCGGCGCCGCCTTCACGTCGTCCTGTAAAAAGAAGGCGTCAGCAGCGGGCCGCGCCCCCAGCCCCTCGGTCCCTGGGCAGTCCGCACCTGGCTCGGCCGCCGCCCGTGCTGCTGCCGGAACGCGCGCTCCCACGCCTGCAGCCGCTCCCGCACGTCCCGCAGCCGCTCCATGGCGCGCCCGCCCGGCCTCGGCGCCCCCGGCGGTTCAACCAGCCTCCCGCGCTGCGGCCGACGGCCAATGCGGGCGCGCGGCGAGCCGGGGGCGGGGCCCTCGTGCCCAGGCAGCCAATCCGCCAGGCCCTGGACGAGCAGCCAATGGGAAGAGTCGACGTCATCGCGGGGCGCCGGGCGGGACGCGACGGACGATCGAGGCGGGGCCGGAGGCGGTGGCTGCGGCTGCGGGACCGGTGAGCGCGGACCGCCGAGAGGGGTTCGGAGCGGGGCGGCGCGCGTCCTTGGCCGGGCCTGGCCTAAAGGGGCGGGGCGCCGGTCGCGCGGGGCGGCCCAGCCGAGGGAGGGCGTGGCTACGCTTGGGAGCCCCGGGCCGAGGCCGGGTGCCCGGGCGGCGCCACCGCGGGCGGCGAAGGACTGGGAGTTCCCGGGCAGGTCGGAGCGGCGTCAGGCCCTGGTGGGAGACGCACCGGGCCTGGAGGAGCAGGCCCCGCCCGGGAAGTGAAAGAGCGGAGCGTCGGGCGCCTCCCGCGGCTCAAGGCCTTGAGGAGCCGGGCGGGGGCGTCTTCGCGAAACGCGGGCAGCCTGGGACCAACGCGTTCCCTGCCGCCGGCGGGAGGGGCGGAGGCGTCGCACGGAGGCTCCTGCCTCCCTCGGTGGCCAGGCTGGCTGCTCTCGTGTGCTCTCGTGACAGGTGCTCGGTTGCTCTGTCCTGTCAGAGCGAGGTATGATCGTCGAGATTTCGTCCACGGGCAGAGCGAGGCCGAGGGTTGGCGTCTGGGACTTTTCAGGAACCGGTGCCTTAAGGACTTCTTTGTATGCGGAAAAGTCGGCAGAAACAAGGGCCCTGGGACCAGAGTTTCTCCCCAGCTCCCTTCCCTGGCTGGTCACTCAGGCTGACCTTGGGCTAGGCGTAGGCCTTCATTTTCTGATCTCACAGGGGGACGGCTGCGATTTAGTTTTGAGGGTGCTGCAGTCAGCAGCAGGGCTGGCACCCGGTGTCACAGGCACCTTGTTTCTTTGGTAGTGTTTGTGTGCATCTCTGCCTCTTGGATGCTGCTTAGGCAGCTTTCTTTGCTTTGCCTGACAGTCTGTAGCCTTGCACCTTCCAAATCTCACATACTTAAGATTTGGGTCTTTCCACAGTGGCTCTCCAGGAAAGAGGGAGGTCTAGACCAGGGGTAAGGGCCACCAAAGATGAGAGTTGCTTTCTGTCAGGGGTCTCCGTGCTTGGTGACACGCTGGACAATAGTAGTATTTTGGGGATCTTAGATTGAAGGCTTGGATTTCATAGGCCACATCATCTGGACTCGGTGTTCCCTGGGTCTCAGTCTTTTCAGCCTGCCCTGTTGCTTACGAACCTATGTGTGTGCTTCCAGTTGTTCTTTGTTGTGTTTTGTGGAGTCCAGGGGTAACCCTGCAGACCCTCTGTAGACCCTCTGTGAGGAGGGGAGGGAAGGGATGTGACTGACCCCTTGGAGTGTCCAATCAACACTAATGCTGACAAAGATTGGTGGGGAGTGGTCTGGGCTTTATTCAGGTTTCAAAGAAGGCTTTGCAAAGCAGCTTTGTAATTTGGGAGGCCCGAAGTACCCATGGGGGGGTCCTGCAAGGCAGCAGTCATCTGTCAGAAGCACACCCAAGCAAGTGAGTTGTCAAAGACGCCACGTTGCTTGATGCTTGGTTTTCTTGAAGAGGTCCTGTGCTTCTGGAGGGCTGGGGCTGAGCTGTGTCCTTGTTTGCTAGTCCACTGCACCCAGCCCAGAGCTAGGCATCTAATAGGTGCTTTCCAATAGGTGGTTCTCTGCTAACTGCTGACTTTGTTCCAGGCACTATGCTGGGCTTTCCTACCAACTGTGTGTGGCTTGGTAGTGGCCTAGGGTCTCTCCTCCCTGCTGAAGTCCCTCTCCTGCAGGTGGCTGCCTGCCTGGCCCAGCGCCATGCACACGCTTGTGTTCTTGAGCACGCGGCAGGTGCTGCAGTGCCAGCCAGCTGCCTGCCAGGCCCTGCCCCTACTGCCACGCGAACTCTTCCCCCTGCTGTTCAAGGTGGCCTTCATGGACAAGAAGACGGTAGTACTGCGCGAGCTGGTGCACACGTGGCCCTTCCCGCTGCTCAGTTTCCAGCAGCTGCTACAGGAGTGTGCCCACTGCAGCCGTGCCCTCCTGCAGGAGCGGCCTAGCACTGAGAGCATGCAGGCCGTGATCCTGGGGCTGACTGCCCGGCTCCACACCCCAGAGCCTGGGGCCAGCACACAGCCCCTCTGCAGGTATGGACTTACCTGAAGGGTCGTCAGGCCAGGGGTATGTAAGTGGGCCACTGTAGGAGGGTCTAGGTTTGGGTCGTAAAGTTAGCAAGAGCTCACGCAGGAGCAGGCACGTCGCTCCTGTCCCATGGTAGCTGGGAGGGGGTATGTATGGGCCCTGCCCTTGACCCCTTCCTCAGACCGTTCCTACTCCCAGGAAGCATGCGCTGCGGGTGCTGGACATGACAGGCCTCTTGGATGATGGTGTGGAACAGGACCCTGGCACCATGAGCATGTGGGACTGTACTGCTGCCGTCGCCCGCACATGCATCGCCCAGCAGCAGGGTGGGGCCACGGAGCCGGGCCCGGCCCCTGTCCCAGTGGAGGTGCGTGTGGACCTTCGGGTAAACCGGGCAGTCCTATGCGTTCCTGCGCGAGGCGCTCCGAAGCAGCGTGGGCAGCCCGCTGCGGCTCTGCTGCCGGGACCTGCGAGCCGAGGACCTGCCGATGCGCAACACCGTGGCGCTGCTGCAGCTTCTGGATGCGGGCTGCCTGCGTCGCGTGGACCTGCGCTTCAACAACCTGGGCCTGCGTGGCCTGTCTGTGATCATCCCACACGTGGCCCGCTTCCAGCACCTCGCCAGCCTGAGGCTCCACTACGTGCATGGGGACTCAAGGCAGCCCTCCGTGGATGGCGAGGACAACTTCCGCTACTTCCTAGCCCAGATGGGCCGCTTTACCTGTCTGCGAGAGCTCAGCATGGGCTCCTCACTCCTTTCTGGGAGGCTGGACCAGCTGCTCAGGTGAGCGGGCCCCACCACTGCCCTGCCCCTCCCTTCAGTAGGCACCCTCCCCACCTCTGCCTGTCTGTGACCTCTGTGTCCCCTGTAGCACCCTGCAGAGTCCCCTGGAGAGCTTGGAGTTGGCCTTCTGTGCTCTGCTGCCTGAGGACCTGCGCTTCTTGGCACGGAGCCCCCATGCTGCTCACCTCAAGAAGTTGGACCTGAGTGGCAACGACCTGTCTGGCAGCCAGCTGGCACCCTTCCAGGGTCTGCTGCAGGCATCAGCGGCCACACTGCTACACCTGGAGCTGACTGAGTGCCAGCTCGCAGATACCCAGCTGTTGGCCACACTACCCATTCTTACTCGATGCGCCAGTCTCCGCTACCTTGGCCTCTATGGCAACCCACTGTCCATGGCCGGCCTCAAGGAGCTGCTGCGGGACTCAGCAGTGCAGGCTGAGCTGCGTACTGTGGTGCACCCCTTCCCTGTGGACTGCTATGAGGGCTTGCCCTGGCCGCCACCTGCCTCTGTCCTGCTGGAGGCCTCCATTAATGAGGAGAAGTTTGCCCGTGTAGAGGCAGAGTTGCACCAACTGCTTCTAGCCTCGGGCCGTGCCCATGTGCTCTGGACTACGGACATCTACGGGCGACTGGCTGCGGACTACTTCAGCCTATGATGAAGTAGCTCTGGGTGAGACACAGGCCGTTCTGCAGTCTCCTTGAGTAGGCAGGTCCCTTCTGGGACCCCGCCCTGGAGGCCTGTCACAAAAGCACTTGTTTCTGGTTTCCTGCTGGGTCCACCTTGCTTCTGGGCACACGTTGAGTCCCCCCTGCTTTCTGCGGTGCCCCATGCGATTTGCCCTGCACTTGCTCCATAATTGGCTGATTGTCTGTGGGCCCGAGGGTTGGGTGTCAGGGCTGCATCACCCTGCTCAGTTTGGCTGCCCTCTGGAGTCCTGATCCTTTGTGCAAATGCTTTGGGATCCCTGTTGTGGGTTGAGAGAGATGATGGTCTCTCGGGGCCTTTCCCATCCCCTTATGGAGAGCTCAGTGTTCTGGGGTTGAAGTTGGAAAGGGGCCTGCTTCAGGGAGGCTGGGGTCCCCAGGCACTCAGGCCTCTTATGTGTTCCCTGCCCTGCCACCCAGCCACCCCATTGGGATGGCCTTGGGCTGGAGGGAATCATCAAGGTGCAAGTGTGCCTGGAACTTTTAATTTGTGGCTGTTTTTTTATGTCCAAGTTGGTCACCCTTATCCTTATGTCTGCTGTCGCCCCCAGCATGGCCACTGGGCCACAACTGCCTCCAGCCTGTCGTTCCGCCTTTTGCGGGGCAGCGCCATTGGCACTGCCTGCCAGTGCTTGCTCTTCCCCACCTGCTGGAGGCCCAAGATCTTACTGTGGTCGGCCGGGGCTAGTGAGCTGCCTCCTGCAGAACCGGAGGTTGGGGGTGATGTCTTTTCGGAAGAGCTTCAAGTGAGGCGCCGGGGCCTAGCTGGCCACCTTCCATTGCTACCCCAGGATTCCCAAGTGCAACGCTCCCGGCCTGGGTGCCCCGCGCCCCACACACGGCTCGGCGCACAGTGCGCGGCTTCCACCTTTACTGACGGAGCATGCGCGAGGCGGCGCCGGCCAATCCCCGGCGGCCACGTCATCCGCGCGCGCCCGCGGACCTAGCAGTGGATCTCGTAGGCAACCGGCGGGGGCACGCGGAGTCCCGGCGTCGCCCCCTCTGCCGGGTCGCAGTCCGCGGGCGCCTCCGCTGGGACTTCGGCGAAGAGGGGCTTGGAACGGTTGATGACGAACATCTCGTGGCCGCGCTCGTCGCGGAGCTCCTCGAGCTGCGCGAACGTGCAGGGGCCGTCCAAGTAGTCGTTGACGAACAGCGCGCCCTCCCCTGGCGGCCCCCGCGCCTTTTTCCGCCTGCGGCGCCGGCGACAGATCATGGCGGCTAGGAGCACCGCCGTGAGCGCCAGCAGCGCGATGGCCGCCGCGATGGCCGTCTGCGTAGCCAGGCCCAGGGCGCGGAAGGCCATGCTGCCCGCCACGGGCCGGGGCTCGCGGCCGGCGGGCCGGGCGGCCGGGAGCGGCGGTTGCGCGGGCTGCTGTGGCTGCTGCCGGGACGCGTTGACCAGGAGCCGGAAGGGCACGCGGGCGGCGCCGCCGGCGTTGGAAGCCTCGCACTCGTACTTGCCAGCGTGCGCCAGCGTGATGTTGCTGAGGAAGAGCATGCCGCTGCCCGTGTCGGATGCCGAGTGCCCGCCCAGCACCGGCGCCCCGCCTTCTAGCTGGGCCTGGGCTCGTGGCCGGCCCTCGCGTGGCTGGGGCACCTTTCTCCAGGTCACCAAGGGCTGCGGGTAGCCGGAGGCTTGGCAGGCAACCCGCAGGTCCTCACCCAGGTTAGCCGTGAGCTCCAGCGGCTGCACGTGCACCGAGGGCGGAATGCAGATGAGGCTGCTGTGGGATATATCCAGGAGACTCTGGAGCGCCAGGCGCGGCGGCTCTGCACACATGATCTTCCTGTCCCTGGAGCTGAGCAGCCGCTGGCCACCCTCCTTAATCCAAGCACCCAGCCAGTGCAGGGCGCAGTCACAACGCCATGGGTTCTCTGTGGGAGAGCAGCATCAGGCAGGTGGCTTGGAGGTAGTGCTAGAACACAGCCTGTGCAGTTGGGGTTCTGCAGGCCAGGACGGGGCCTCTTTTCCACCTCCTACAGCCTTATCACACGGGAATCTATGGCAACTGCCACCCTTTCCTTGACCCCAAGCTCCTGGCGGTGGCGCCAGGCCCTCCACCCTCCTCCCCCATTAAGCTCTGTGATGCCTATCACAGATCACTTCTCCGCTGGTCTCTGAGAAAGCACCTGCTCCTGAAGTCTTTATGAAACAAGTTCCACAGTTTTTGGGAACCTGAGGATCCACATGGACATCTCACCAACACTGAAACCTTGCAAATCCTCTTAGCCTTGTTTTTGGATGCCCTCTCCTGGGGATGTCCCCAGTCCTGGTCAGCTGTCTCTCTCCTTTCCAGTTTTTGTCTGCTTGCCCTCTCATACCCGAAAGGTGTACAAAGCCCTTAATTCTGTCAAGTCACTCTGTGGGGTGCCTGTCTTTTCTGTCTCAGGCAGGGTGCCTGAGCTGTGACCCCAGCACGCCCATTCCCGCAGCCCTCCACCGTGGCTGCCGGTGGTGGTGGGGCCCTCCAGACCTGCCCGGTTGCCTCCTGTCAGGGCCCCTCCACACATGAGCCTGCCCACTACTGCCACCACCGTGGCCAAGACAGTAGACACAAGAGATGCTTTAGGGGAGGAGGTACCTGTGAGGCGCAGGACTTGCAGACTGGCCAGGGGCTGCAGGGCCTCTCGGCTGATGGTGCCCAGCTGGTTCCTGCTGAGGTCCAGCAGTGCTAGGGAGGACAGCCCCGCTAGAGCCTGGTCCTCCAGCAGCTCAATGCTGTTTTCTTGCAGGTGAAGCTCCTGCAGTCGCTGAAGTAGGGACAGCAGATCGTGAGTAAAAAAGGAAGCCGCGGTTGGGGGCAGGTCCCCTTCTTACCAAGCTAGACTAAGTTGCCTCTTCTAACTACTCCGTCCCTGCAGGGCGAGGGGCCATAATGGAGCATCCCGCCACTTTAGACCCCAGGCGCTCACCGGCAGGTGTAAGAAGGTGAAATCCAGTAGTCGTGCTAGCTGGTTGCCCGCCAGGTAGAGCACGCGCAGCTGGGCCAGGCCTAAGAAGGCGCCGCTGCGCAAGCCGCGCAGCCGGTTGCTGGTGAGGGCCAGCTCGAGCAGGCGCGGCTGCGCGCGGAAGGCGCCGGCCTCCAGGGCGCGCAGGCTGTTGTTGTGCAGGTAGAGCCGGCGCAGGGCGGACAGCGGCGCCAGGGCTCCGGGCTCCAGGCGCGCGATGTTGTTGTCCTGCAGGAACAGCGTCTGCGAGCGGAGGAGAGAGGAGGCGCTTACTCCGCCGCGGGGGTCTTCCTCTCCCCTGGGGCACCCCATCCTCCAGCAGCCTCACACGGTGCCCACCTGCGTCCCTGGCGGGATTCCCAGCGGGACGACTCGCAGCCGCAGGGCGCCACACTCCACCGTCGCGCTGTAGCAGCGGCAGGCGACCGGGCAGCCGGCGGCGCGGGACGGGAGCCCGGGCAGCGGCGGCGGCGGCAACAACAGAAGCAGCAGCAGCAACGACGCGGGTCCCCCTGGGGCCATCTCCCGAGCCCCGGCTCCTCACCGGCCCCCCGCGGTCCGGCCGCGGACGCGTACCCTCCTGAAACACAGGGCGGCAGGCCAGTCTCGGCAGCCGAGAGCCGGCCAATAGCAGGCATGGGGATGGGGGCCTGCGTCTGCCTCTGTTTTTCAGAGGGAGTCTCGCTCCGTCGCCAGGCTGGAGTGCCACGGCGCGATCTCCGCTCACTGCAACCTCCGCCTCCCGGGTTCAAGCGATTCTCATGCCTCAGCCTTCCGAGTAGCTGGGATGACAGGCGCGCGCCAGCACGCCCAGCTCATTTTTGTGTTTTCAGTAGAGACGGGGTTTCACCATATTGGATGCTCTCGATCTCTTTACCTTGTGATCCGCCCGCCTCGGCCTCCTAAAGTGCTGGGATTGCAGGCGTGAGCCACCGCGTCCAGCGGGGGGCTAACTTGGAAGCTATAAATCAGTTCAAGAAACTAATAAAACGTCGTTTCTTCCCTTGACAAAAACATTTTCTTAAAGATCTGGGGCATCAGGTTCAAATTTAGAATTCCTCGTGTCCTTAGTCTCCTCACAGGATGTGGCCATGTAGGGGGAGCCACCCAGCCCCGTCCCCTTCTGTTGCTACTCCACCCATGCCCAGGGGCTCAGGAGCTTCCTGTTCAGGACGTGGATGTTCGGCCCTTGCTGCCCCTGACTCTACCCCCCAGGCACGTGGCTGCTGCTTGGTTCTAGGGCGCAAGAAGCTGGAACTACAGGGTATGGGTTTGGGAACTCTGCTCAGGTGACAAAACCGAGGGCCCCATTGCCCAAGCATGGCTAGGAGCGGGAGAGCAGGCCCGGGGCAGACACGCCCCCTTGTTTTCCTGTGGGGGCTGGCATGCGACCTCCCGAGGCCCAGAGCAGAGGTCCCTTTGTGCCCCCAAGACGAAGTCCAGAGCCCCACTTGACCTTGACCCATGTCCTTCGTGTCCCCGGAACTCATGCTCTGCCTCCCACTCTGGGGTTCATCTGTCATGACTTGATGGGGACCCCCGGGGAAGAGCTGGCCTCAGAGGAGCTACGAGCCCCAGGGAAGTCGAGGCACAGCTTTATCCAGCACCTGCTCCTGCTGGCCTGGGTAGCTTAACTAAAAACCAGGGGCTTTTTCTCAGGTAACCTGTCAGAGAACTGGGGAATGAAGAAAATAATAGGAAGGTCGGCTCAGGAGCCACGGGTCTGCGCTTCCCATGCTGGTCCCCAGAAACATGTCCCGTCTTTGAGGATAGATGGGGCCCTTGGGAAAGCTGCACTGTGACGGGGAAGCCCTGGGCCACCAACTGGGTTTCTGGCGTGGCGTCCCTAGTGGGCTCTGGGGGCAGTGTGACCTCCTGAGGTCAGGAAGGAGCACGGAGTATGTGGGGACCATATGCGTGCACTTGTCCTAAGGAAATGGGAAGGCTGGGGTCTGGTTTCAGGCACAAAGAGCCCAGTTTGAAAAGTAGGGATCTGGGCCGAGATGCAGCCCACCCGATGCCAGGGAAGACAAGGCTGCAGCGTCTCCCAGCGTCATCTGGCCTCCCTCTCTGAACATCTGCCTGTCCACCAGCTCTTCCTCCTTGCCCAGTCACGTGGAAAGGGACCAAGTGGCCTTGGTGTTTAATTCTTGCCCTAAATTGTAACTCATATGATTATTTAAAGTCACTAGAAATTAGTAAGCACAGCAACAAAGTTTTAATGGAACAGCTTTGGCCCGGGCAGAGGCAGTTCCCAAATGTCTCAGGACGTGTGTGAACCCCAAGAAACTGGGGACATTTATCTGGGCCCTTGGGATCCATTTCCCTGGATAAAGAGGACTGGCTCCAGGCCTGGCCCAGTAGCCTCCTCAGAACTCAGGGCGCCGCTGCTCACGCTGACCCCCCTAGATGCAGCTCGGTGTAGAAGGGCCGGCCAGGGGCCCCAGGCTGGAAGAAGCCCAGAAATCCTTTTACCAGAGGACAACCCCCTAATCCGCTGGGCAGGGGCGGGCGTCACATGCAGGATTCCGCGACGACTGTCACTGCCTCCCGGGCGCCCCTCTGTGCGGGAGGGGTGGAGAGAAGAGGACGGAACGCCCTGTGCCTCCCTCCGGCCAGTGCAAGGGCCCAAGCCAGCGTCTCTGGGCGGCCCTTGCGCACCTCTGCAGCGCCGCGACCCGGTGCCAGGAAGCCCCACGGCCTCCTCTGCCACCCCTGAGCGCCGGTCGTTTTTCGGCCAAGCTCAGGGAGGGCGTGGCCTCCGCGTTCCCCATCCCCCTCCAGGACTCACGCCCTTCTGGGAGCGCGCCAGGATCAGAGCCGGGATGGTCCCCGAACCCCTCCCCCCGCACGCCTGGTGACCTTGGGTCGGGCGTCCCCTCACCTGACGCTCCCGCGCCGAGCGGCTCCCCCGCGGTGCAGGTGGCTGCCGGGCTGGAGCAGCGGCCGGGCCGGGAGGGGGCGGGGGACGCTCGCGCACGCGCACCAGAGCCCCGCACCAACCGCGCCCGCCGCCAGGGCCTGACGTCTCCAGCGCGAGCCAATCCGGAGGGCGCCCGAGCTGGGTGCGCGGGGGGCGCGCGCCGTGGGGAGCGGAGGGTCCGGAACGGCCGGGCCGCGGCAGCACCAAGGACAGAGCCGGGGGCGGGGCGGGGTGGGGTGTCCGGGGCCCGCGGCGCGCAGGCGCACTAGGCTGCCGCGAGTGCCGGGGCGCCGGCCTTCCAGGGCGCGGGCTCCCGGGGAGCAGGGTGAGGGGCGCCCGCGGCCTCCCGCCCTTCTCCCGCCCCTGCTCAGGGCGGCCGAGCCGCGAGCAGCAGCGGGGCCAGATCCATGGTGAGGGCGAGGCGGCGGCCCTGCCAGAGCACGTGCGAGGGCAGCGCGGGCGCGCCGGGCTCGTACTCGAAGCAGGCGCTGAGCTCGAAGGCCAGGGTGGAGCGCACCAGGCCCACGCCGCCCGCTCGCTCCGGCGCCGGGTGGTACAGGCGCCCGTTGGCGGCCAGGGGCAGCAGGCGCGCTGGCTCGAAGGGCACAGCCAGGGCCTCGCCTCCGCCGCAGTAGGAGAGGCGCGGGGGCCCGTGGCCCACGGTCAGCAGGTGCGTGAAGACCACCGGCCGGTCCTCGCAGCGCAGGAAGTTGCGCTCTCTGCCGCAGGGCGAGAGGAAGGGGAAGGAGGCCTCGTAGCGCCCGCTGCGGTTGGGTCTCAGGCGGGAGAAGAAGGTGACCAGGAACTGCGGGTCTGGGGGATGAAGGGGCCGGGTGCTCAGCGCGCTGGGCTCCCAAGGCCTCCGGGCCCAGGACCGCACTGAGGGCAGACGCTCACTCCTTGGCGCGCTGGGCCCATCGGCAGAGTCGGGGAGCCCATCCGGAGCTGCCCTGAAGGGAGAAGGAAGGGGCAGGGGAGGGCGGCACAGCGGTACCTTTGAAGCAGGTGATGAAATTCTTCATTTTGGAATCATCCAGGAAAAGCTGCGGACAGACGGCCGGGCCGTGATGAGTCCCAGCGGGCAGGTGGGGCGGGGAAGCTCGGGCGGTCCTGAGCCGGGACGAGCCCACTTTGCCTGCTAGTCTGAGCACACCGCATGCAGGGAGGCGCGTGGAAGGTAAACCTGGGGGCCCTGCCGGCGTCTCCGCATCTGTGCGCACCTCTGCTCCCTGGTCAGGCAAGTCTTTCTCGCACCTTTTCCCTCTTCTCAAGTTTGTAACCAGCTGTGCCACCTCCGCGGAGGCTGCCTGGCCTGCTGACTCCCGGACATGCCGGATGCCTTAGACAGGGCTTCCGAAAAAGGAGGGGCGGCCCGGGCGTCTACCCGATAGCGGCAAGAATTCAGCGCCGGGGGTGGGGGCTTGCAAGTCAGAGTCCGGAGCTGCACAGCGCAGAGGGGCGCGGCCCGTGCAGGAGCCTCGGCCCAGCTCGACCCAGGTTCCCGGCTTTCTAGCGCGCGCCACTCCAGCTCTGCGGCATTAGGGTCGCCCACCGCCCAGGTCCCGCCCATCGACGTGCGACTTCTCTGCGGCCCCGCCCCCGAGCAACGGCCCCGCCCACAGGGACCACTCCCGGCCCCGCCCCTCGAGCAACGGCCCCGCCCACAGAGACCCCCCCCGCCTGCGGCCCTGCGCCCGCCCACCTGGCCCTGGTGGTCCACGTAGTAGAAATACTCGCGCGTCCGCGGCTCGGGACTCTGGCCCTGCGTGTAAGAAACGCCCCCGTCCACGCTGCAGGCTCGGGCACCCCGCGACCGCGCCAAGGCGACGGTCCGCAGGGCCGCGCACGGCGGCCACATTGTCCTTCCGCGCCGGAAGCGGCCGGCAGGTCACGCTGGGGGCGGTGCTGCGCGAACTCGCGCCCGCCCGCAGCAGGAGTCCCGCGCTTCGCGTTCCGGCGGCGCCCGCCTCCCCGACTCGGGCCCGGCGCTCTTCCCTCCCCCGCTGGCTTTCCGAGCCGCGGGCGCCGGTGCGGCCCCTTCTGGTCGCCCCGCGCCTCTTCCGGCCCCAGGGAGGCCCCGCCCCCGGCCGCGCCCCGCCCCCGGCCGCGCCCACAAGGAACTGGAGGCGGCGCAGGGTCCACGTGCACTTTATTCACGCGCGTCGCCGCCTCTCGGTCCGTGCGTCGGGACAGCGCCTGCGGCCGGGCTGGGCCGCGACGGCCCGGGGACCACCCGACTGAGGACGCCGCCTGGGCCTCGGCAGGGCTGGGCCTTTTGTTTTTAATAAATAAAAACGGAACTCTAAAAAATAGATATATAAAAACTGGGGAGAAATTAAGTTTTACAACAGTTGGAACTCAAAATTCCAAAATGGAAAATGTACAAACTCGGTCCCCCGGCAGCTCTGGCCTCGAGGACAGGCAGTCCTGGGCGCGGCGCCTTCCCGCTCGTCGGCCGCGGGTCTGCGATGGGATGGGGTGGGGCTTGGTTTTTGGTCAGAAGCCAAGAAAAAAGATTGGAGAAGAAAAGAAGGAATGACGTCAACTTGCTCTGCACGGAGGACGGGGACGGCTCAGAGATAAATAGCATTTAGCTTAAAACTATGTCATTAGCAAATTTAGTTCTTATATCTTTCCCTCTATTTATATCTCTATACACAGGTGGGCTGCGATGCAGGATAGATTCTGGATTTATAGTTACACGAAGAAAAAATACTCTCGCCCCTCCCCCGCCCTGCCCCCAAAATGCTTGCCCAGCCCTGCCCCCAGCCCTGCCCCCTGCCCCAGACGACTTTGGTTTGGGGGCCCCACCCCACCCACAGAGCGCCTGCCAGGCCCTGGGCCCACTGCCCTGGAGCCCCCAAACTCCTGAGCAGTCTCCAGCTGGGGACCGCGGGCCGAGCGGGGGAAAGAGGAGGCGGGGACAGGTCGGGAAGCTCCCTCGGGGCTGGGAAGAGCTGCAGGCCTGGAGGACAAGGCCTGGAGAAAGGGGGGCGGCCGGGCGAGGCCCAGGCCGGGGCGCGCGGGAGGCAGCCCGGCCCCAAGGCGGGCAGTGTCGCTCGGCTCCAGGACACGGAAGGCACTTTCTCGGAGCTGACCCGCGGCCAGCGGGGGGCGAGGCGGTTTCCGCGGGAACTGGCCGTGAGGTGGGGGGCCAGAGGCGCCCTCCCCGTCGCTGCTCTGCCCTGGCTGCACCCTCAGATCAGGCAAAAGACCTGGGGAGCGCGGGGCCGAGGGCCTGGGGAAGACGGGAGGGGGGCTCCGGTGCTGGGCCGGGCGAGTCGGGCCCCTCTGCTGAGCGAGCGAGTGCGGCGTTCGGCCTGGCTGGGGGCGGCGGGCCGCCCCTCCCATCCCCGGGCGCCCCCGCTACAGCACGCCCTCCATGAAGCTGGTGTCCAGGTGCTGGATGAGCACGCGCAGGAAGGACATCTCCTTGCGGGTGTTCTCGAAGATGACGCGCGGGTCGTCGGACTGGCAGCGGAGGCAGTTGGGCGCCATCACCATGGCCAGGTTGCTCACATCCATCTTGGTGACCGCCACGTTGGCCGGCTGCACGAACACCTGCCGGAGGAGCGAGGGTGGGCGCGGAGGGGCGCGGGGGGCGGGGCGGGGCAAGCAGCGGGGACCCGGGGAGGGAAGCCCGGCGGCCCGCCCGCGTACCTGCAGGAAGCGGATGAGGTAGCAGAGCACCATGCGGTTGATGCGGGGCAGGGCGTGCACCACGGCCACCGCCGCCTCGGGGCTGTCGTAATGCGCAATGCACTGCTCGTAGAACTCGTGCGGGATCAGGGGCTCCTCCAGCTCCCGGTACCACAGCTTCAGCAGGGACGCTGGGGACACAGCACGGGGCTCAGCTGGCCTGCTCGGCGGGCACCCCTGGGCCAAGTGGGATCCAGTGGCAGTCACGCATGGAAGGGTGCTGTGGGTGACAGGCTGGACCCGGACCCCAGGAGGCCTTTCAGCTCCTAGGGACCTGAACTTGATCCTGGAGGCATGCGGGATCATACCCGCAGAAACGTGTACAACAGGACTTTTCTCAGGAGGAGCCTCTGCAGCTGCCGTGAGGCGGTCTGTACAGCAGGCATGGCTGAAGGGCACCGGGGCAGACAGCAGCAGGCTGGGAGTGGGCTGGGCTGCAGTGTACAGGCAGAACTCGGGGTGCCTCGAGGACACCTGGGGAGACTGTTCAATGGGCAGGAGAATGTCTGTGCTGGGAGTGGGCTGGCCATCATGTCATTGGGCAGGGGGCGGGATCAGGGTGGGCCTCAGAGGTGGAGACAGGGGCCCCTTGAGAACCACTGCCTGAGCTGGGCTCCTCCCCTGCAGAGTGCCGAGGACTCACCGGGGACGTGGGGGTCTTCCAGGCCTGTGGGCACCTTCCACTGGTCCACCTGCAGCTTCAGGGCATTCACCTCATCAATGTCCCCTGGGACCCTGCAGGGCACAAGGCAGGTCTCAGGCTACAGGAGCCTGCGCCAGGGCTTCCCGATTCTGCCTGGACACTAGATCCTGCTGGCCCCTGCTGACCCAGGGAGGGGAGCAGAACCTCAGGCCCCCTGCCACCCCCACCACCACCCAGCTGAAGATGGTTGGGTGGCAGTCTTCGGGATTCTGCCCCACACACCTGGGTCTGAGTCTGGTTTCCCAAGGTCCACCATCCCTCCCTGGACCACTGCTGGCCCCCCGTGTGGATGCCCTCTCCAAAGGACCACTGGGGCTTAAACCCGCAAGCCTCAGTTTCCCCAGCTGCCCCTCTGGTGAGTCGGGGGGCTGCCTGTCATCTCTGAGGCTGACGCCCCGGGCTGCCCATGGGTGGTGTCCAAGCATGCTCTAGACCCCTTGTGGCCACATCTGCAGGGGCAGCCCCCTCCCGTCGTCTGTGCTGCCTCTTCAGAATGGGTCCTGCCCTCTCTCTCCTGGCCTGCACACCCTCGGGGTCAGCTTCCACACTGGGGCCCCAACCTACCACCTACTCTCAGGTAGGGGTGCAGAAGCAGCCCAGTGGGCCTGAGGCTTAATGGCCCCTGCATGCCAGAGATGGATGGATGACCCAGGGCTGTGGCCCCTACACCTGGGGCCCGGGGTTGCCACGGCACCTGAAGATGCCCTCTGTCTGGTCACCGTTGAGTGCCAGCACCTCCTCAGAGAGCCGCGTCTGCACCCAGGGCAGCTGGCGCTCGGGGTAGCGCTCCCGCTGCATGCCCATGACCTCCTGCAGCGCACTGCCGAACATGGATGGGCTGAACACGGCGTTCTTGGCATGCCGGATCTCCTCCACGTTGGGCTTCTTTAGCCCCTGTGAAGACAGTGGCTCCGTCCTGGTCTGGCCTGGCTGCTCTGCTCCCAGCCCTTCTCGTCCCCCAAACCCTAACTCCTCCTGGGCTGCCCCGGCTCTGCTCCCACTCCTCTCATCCCTGTGAACCCCTGGCTCCAACTAGACCAGGGACGAGCCCAGCTCCCTGGCCGCAGTCACTGCCTACAGCACCAGCTCTCATAGTCCCTTGGGAAGGTGGAAGTGACTTCTGGGCCAGCCAGGGCTGTTGGGGGTCACAGTAGGGGTCAAGCCAACTCATCTGGAGTGAAACGTCCAGAAGTCTGTGGAAGGGCTGAGAGCCCTGATGTGATGGGAGCAGCGCATCAGGGAAGAGGGTGTGGGGAAGGGGCCAGGCCAGGATCTTGGACACGTCCGGGGCGCCCAAGGTACTTCCCGGGTATAGGTGCTGTGTCAGGCTTGGGAGGACAGGATGGTACTGTCATGCCATGTGACTGAAGCCCTTTGCCTGCCCTGCTCCTAAGTTGGGGGTCTGGACCTGGGGAAGAGCCCCCGGGGGAAGGTGCAGCCCAGGAGAGCACAGGGTCTGCCTTGCACACCCTCCCACCCACCTAGGTGGGCTGTGTGGCACCCTCTGGACTGCTGCCCCAGACCAAACTGCAGGCTAGGCCCCCAGGCTGTTCACCAAGGGTCCCTGTGTCCACACTGCCCTTCCCAGTCTCCCAGGCGCACTCGTACCTTCTTGGCCCCGGTTAGGGCTGCCTTCTGCAGCTTGTGGTAACAGTACTTGGCATATGTGCTTATCGCCACCCCTGGAAAGGAATGGGGCCCGATCAGTCTGGTGTGGATGTGTGAGCATGGGGCCAGGAGAGGGGTGAATAGACGCGGCCCCTTCAAGGGCCCTGGGGGCTGGCTGGGCTTCCCCCTGCCCACTGCAGCAGGACCTCATGCTCTCCCACGCAGTGTCCTTTAGAGCAGAGACCCAAGGGGTGCTTCCCCACCTCCGGAGGGACAGTCTGGGGAGGTGCCGTGCTGGCAGCCCCCCCACCCCTCCCACAGCCACGCAGGAACAGGAAGGGCAGGACCTGGGCCTGAGGGCCTCTAGACCCCACTCCTCTCTCCCACAGGGCTGTTCAGGTATTTGGCTCTTCTCTTCTTCGGGCCCCTCCCTGGCTTTGCGGCTGTGGGCAGGAGCCCCTGGCCACCTACCCAGCACCTGGGGCCAGCGCTGGGCTATTTGAACAGCAAGCCCAGCTCTGCTGCAGCCCTGGGCCTTAACCACCACCTTTCGGCTCTTCCGAAGGACTGAGGCGGCAATGAGAGGGCCCAGTCTCCTTTCTCAAGGGAGGGGCTTTCTAAAACTCAGCCCCTGACAGCAGGGACACCGATGATGGTCCTTGAGGGGAGGGGCAGCGTGCCTAAGTCAGCACCTGGGCAGGGACTCAGGGACCTCAGCCTGGAGTCTCCAGACACTGGCCCCAGGGGAAGGTGTAGAGGGGAGAGGATTCCCAGGCTGGGTCTGGAAGGTGCAGCACCTTCCCGCTCCGTCGGGAAGCAGCAGATGAGAGAACACATGAAGAGAAGCCGTCCTGGGCCAGGGGAGCCATGGACCTCCGACAGGACCCTGTGCTTCCGGACACAGGAGCCGCCCCGGCGCCCACGACCTGCCAGGGTAAGGGGGGCCTCTGGACCCTGACCCCCGATTGGAACGCCTTTGTCTTATTTGAAAGAGCAGTTTCTGGTGGACAGCTGAGGACATGGGGTCCTTGAACCCAGGTTCAGAAACACTCGTGCCTTGAGTC